TTAACACTATAATGGGGGTAATTTTCTTAAAATGGCAATGTATCGATATGATTTTTCAATGGCAAAATGCAATTGGACTGTACGGGCCAGTCTGTACCAGTGACTAATTATATAATTAAGCTAGGTGACACTTGCTCAATGGCTTCCCAGTTGGATACTGTACTCCTTTTGAAAAATATTAATTGCTACATGTAGTGTTAAGGTGAGATGGCACATCTCTTATCCGTCCTGGACAAATGACCCATTTGACACAGGTAACACTATAACGAAGTAGTTTTTCATTCTTGAAATGGCGATGTATTGACATGATTTTTCAATGGCAAAATGGAATTGAACTGTAACAGTGATTAATTATATAGTTAAGGGACACTTGCTCAATGGCTACCCTCTGTTATATACTGTGCATACTTCTTTTGAAGTAATTAAAATTGCTACATGTAGTGTTAAGGTGAGATGGCACATCTCTTATCCTATCATTGCATGTGATCAATGCTTATTTGTCTCAACAAAGAGATGGTTTGCGCTCTAGCTAGCTATCTCATTGACAATTGGATAACGAGTAGCGTAAGCCAATCAGAATACAGCATTTGCATTAGAACTTGACAACATTTAAAATTACTAAATATATATACTGTATAGACTAATGTGAAAATGAATACTTTTAGGATGACGACCCCATTGTCCATTGATGAAGAAGTGAGGAAATCAACCTACAGTATAGCTATCCTTGAATCTTGGCATCAGGTGACATTGCATCCTTGGACCCATTGTACATTGCTGCCGTGGGGCAAATTTACTTGCGTTTTGCTGGTAAAAATATTCCACATACTTATTGCTACATTCCATGTTCTAAATATGGAATACACTCCAGGTGTTTCGAGTGTTTATGTATTTCTAGAATTTAGAAGCTGTCACCTTAAACCGCCCTGCTGATGCCGAGAACAAAATTTCTGTACAACAACTTTTAAGTGAGCTTGGACTCTGAAATTAATCGTGATAAATACTTAGTTCATATAAATTCATGCCTGTTAAAGGTATTTCTTGTCAGCGAGTAATTTATAATAATAACCAATTTTGAACCTATATTTCTCTTTTGTGTGTGTCTTAATGTGCCTGGTTGAAAGTGTTAAATCAACACCTTAAATCTGGTGTTATTTTAGCACCAGATAGGAAGAGGTGTTGCTTTGGCACTGCCAAATCAGGTGTTATTTTAACGCCACACTATAGGTGTTAAATCAACTCTTAAAACTGGTGTCACTTTAGCACTTAAAAGTGGTGTTAGTTTAACACTATAAACAGATGTTAAATTAACCCCCAAAACTAGTGCTAATTTAACACTAAAAATGGGTGTTGTTTTAGCACCATAACTAGTGTTATTTTAACACTTTTTTAGTGGTGTTAAAATAGCACCAAAAAGTAGTGTTATTTTTTACCTAATTTTTTAACACCACTTTTTGGTGTTATTTTAACACCCTAAAATTAACAGTGTAGGCGACTCCTTAATTGGCAGGCACTACGATTAGCATTTCTATAGCCCAAATGTACATGTGAATATCATCAAGTGCACTTTACATAAAATATTACGCTTACCTAATTACTTACTTAACTTAGACAACAATTCTGTTATGACTTTCTTGACGATGTTTATCTTAACCCGCCGCTATCATGTCGAACCGAACCAAACCGGATCAGCCGGAGAAAACTCACGACTTTCTGCACTATCCCACACCTGTATTAAAAGCGGATTTCTGATTGGTTTAGAGCAGGTGAGTTTGTTGTCGAGCTCACCTGCTTTTTGCCGAACTCACCTGCTTTTTGCCCGATCGCGAACTCACCCGCTAAACTGCTTACGTTGCAATAACAATAACAAATATAGCGGACAAGATTTAGGCGATAAACCTAAACTTTAAAGAACTTTTTTCGGTGACTACAGTAACTTCAACTTCAACTTTTAATAATAATAATTATAAACTACATATATTTACAGCTTGCCCTGCAAATAACTTTAGAGTTAATCGAGGCAGGGCAAGTAGGTAGTATTTTAAATATAAGATATAAAGTATCTACAATAGTTATACACATATAATATAATATAAAGTAATTAAGAGCAGACTGAGCTTAGATCAGGATTGTCACAACTGTCACAAATTCTTAATATCTATAGTTTTTAATTTTTTCAATTATCATGGGGATTTGAATGTAGTCATCTTCTTTTTCCAATATTTTAAATAGAAGTTGTTGAATGGTCCTTTTAAATAAATTCTTAGATAGGTCACTTACATGGCATGGTATCTCATTCCATAATTTTACTCCAAGCCGTGAAAAAGAATACTTTTGTGTGTTTAGTCTAGAACTTTTTACATAAAACTTTTCTGAAGTATATGATCGTGTACTGTGTAAGTGAATAGTGGATGATTTTTCGAATAAGTTTAATATATTTTGAGGTGCTTTTCCATTATTTATATCGTGCATTAAACTCGATATAGTTTCATAATAGAGAAAGGTCACCGGTAAAATATGAGCATGAAGAAATAGGGGGACAGCGTGATCACATCTATCCGCAAAAAAAATCATACGAATTACCCTTTTCTGAAGAATTAAAATTTTATCGAGATGGGTTTTACATGCTTGACCCCATGCAGCAATACCATAAGTTAGGTATGGATAAATTAGAGACTGATAAATATTAATTAATATTGATCTGGGTAAAAAATGGCGCAGTTTTGCGATGAGTCCAACACTTTTACTAATTTTCGTCGCAATAACATTAATATGGTGTTTCCATGAGAGATTCTTATCAATCAGGATACCTAGATATTTAATGTAATCTTTACACTCAAGATTCACATATTTATTTCGTTTATTATCAAATATGCGTATTTTAGGTTGGTAGGCAAGTCTCTTTTGATAAGAATGAAAAATAACAAAATTAGATTTTTTGATGTTGAGAGTTAACTTACTAGCTGTTAGCCAGTCATAAAAATTTCGTAATTCAATATTGACTGTACTTTCAAGGGCTTTCATATTTTTGTCAGCATAAAGAATGTTTGTATCATCAGCGAAAAGATAAAACTTAAGTTTATCTGAACATTTATGCATGTCATTAACATATAGCAAAAAAAAGCAAAGGTCCAAGAATTGACCCCTGAGGAACACCACAACTGACCTCGACATTATTTGATATATTTTGACCAACCTGTGTTGTTTGTGTGCGATTTTTTAAATACGAAGAGAACCAATCATTAATTATTCCACGGAAGCCGTAATGGTTAAGTTTATTAAGTAAAATATTGTGATCAACTGTATCGAATGCTTTTTTTAGGTCTATGAAGACTCCACAAGAGAATAACTTCTTATTCATATTAGTTTGAATATCATTTAATAATTACAATATTGCATGTTGAGTAGAGTGTCCATTACGAAAGCCATATTGAGAAGAATACAACAAGTTTTGTTTTTCAATATAGCTCACCATTCTTTTGTATACAATCTTCTCAAAGATTCTATTAAAGACAGATAACAAAGAAATAGGTCCGCAGTTACTTGCATCCGTTTCGTCCTCACCTTTATGAACTGGAATGATTTTTGCAATTTTGAGTTTTGTGGGGTAAATACCTGATTTAATAGATGTGTTAAGTATCTCTGAGAGTATAGGAGATATGATAGCTCTTGAACATTTGAGTAAATTAGTGGGTGAGGAATATAAGCCATATGATTTGTTATTTGGTATAGATAATATTTCTAAATTGATATCCTCAGGTAAGACAGGTTGATGATAAAAGGATGAAGCTGGAGATTTGCAATTACTAACATAGTCAAGATAATGATGGTGTGAAGATGGCAATTTACTAGCAAGTTTGCTACCTACTGTAGCAAAATGCTGGTTTATAATGTGAGGAAATTGCGAGGCTTCATTAATGACTTTACCATTATTATTTAGATCCTTAAGAGAACTTATGGTCTTAGAAGTCTTCCTCCGACGATAAAGTATCTCATTAATTCCTTCCCAAGTTTTTTTCATATTTGTTATGTTATGTGTGAAGTACTCCTGATAATATGTCTTCTTACTTAACCTTATCAAGCTGTAAATTTTATTTCTATAACGTCTATATCTTTCATTATCACCTATAGCGTACAATTTATTTTTAATTGAAATCGACGCTTTAATTCCTTTGGTGATCCAAGGCTTAGATAATTGTTTTGCTTTACGATTTGACATTTTTTTAATAGGCACATGCTTTTTGACAATTTTATTGTACTTGTTATAAAATGTAGAGAACAACTTATTCACATCGTTTCTGGATTCCCCCAGCTTATCCCAGTCAACTTGAGAAAGATCATTATTAAACTTTTCAACTGAGAATCCCGAGTAGTCACGTATTTTAGCACTATTTCTTTTTATGGTTTTATCCTTTGCATCTGTTGTGATACAAAATTGTGAAAAATGATCGCTTACATCAGAGATAATATTTCCACTAGTAAGTAGTTTATCCGGGTTATTAATGAAAATGTTATCAATTAACGTAGCAGAAGTTGTACGAACACGTGTGGGCTTGTCAATTGTTGGAATGAGATAACAGCTTTGCAATGCTAATAAAAAATCATGACTTATCTGAGATTTTTCAGATTTAAGAAGGTCCACATTAAAATCACCCATGATATAAATTACCTTATCACTAGACACCAATTCCTCAATTTTATCTTCAAAATATTTTTGAAAATATTCAGGAGAATTGTGTTGTCGATAGACTATTCCGCACACAATATTTTTGTGATTGACAAACGGTATTTCAATCCACAATGCTTGAAATGCCGTGTTACTGGTCTTTTCAAGAACATTATAATTTAGCGATGATTCAATAAACAAACCAGCGCCTCCGGAAGCCAGTGGTGTTGGCACATGTTCAAAACAATAACCTGGGATGGTCGGATGAAAATTGCTCTCATTTGAATTTGTAATTTTAGTTTCTGTTATTCCAATGATGCTAAAATGGAAATTAAGTTCATCTAATAGAACTGTCAAGTTTTCTAGGTTTCGGTTTACGCTCACGATATTATTATGAAATATCGAGAAACTAGTCTGAATCTCATTTTCGGAAAGCTTTTTGCCAAACTTCTTAAAACTATGCACAGAAAAATATCGGCTTTGGATGCATTGGCTATGAATATTATGATTGCTCCTCAGAGCATTATCTAAATCATTGTTAAAATCAAAAATATTCAAGTCATATAGGCCAGCTAATTTATCTAAATTTTTCCTAGGTTGGCAAGTAATAGGGATTGAGTTATTAAACTGACCAAGGCATGATACTAAATCGCCTCTAAAGTTATAAAAGGGGAGTTCTTTTAATAATAATTTAGCAGCCTTCTCTTTAGACTTAATTCTACGTGTCTCCATAGGCATAGTTGTAGGGTTTTAACACATTAATCAGGATATTTGTATATGAATAAATACTTATCTAGTTTGACGTTGCTATTTCGTCTAGCTCTTCTAAGTTTTTCAGTTTTATCGCTGGCGAAGTATCTGTCTTTCGCAGGTACACGAAGCCATTCTTCGCCCATGAGCAATATTTATAGTTCTTGGCAGCTCTGGTCTGTTTGCTTTTGTACAATAGCTCTTGGATTCTCGGGGTTAGATGGTCATATAAACTGATATAATTTACATCTGCACTGCTTTCTTACTGCAGCTGTTCTGCATTCAACTTACCTACAGCTCTTCTGGCAGCCATGACCTTGTCTTTAGCGAGTCGTCTCACAAACTTGCATATTATAGCCTTTGGTCTACTTGATGCCAAACGTGATGGCACCCGATGTGCGGTATCAATATCACTTATCGAAACATCTTCAACTCCCAGTGCAGTGAATAATTTAATACGTAGATCGGCAGTCTGTTGAGCAGTTTCCCTCTCAGCTACTGCTGGGACACCGACAATCTTGATGTTGTACTGATAGCTATAAGCTTCCGATTCTTCAATAAATTTCGCAATACGTTCACATTTTTCCGATATCTTATTTACTTTAGCAGTAAGATCTTGAATCTGCTTATTAGCTTCCTTTTTGAACGAATAGAGCTCATCATATTTGCTAGACATAAACTCAACTGAATTAGCTCTATCTGGTGACAATTCTTTTCATTTTGTCGGCCATTTTGGCTCTTCGTCTTCGAGGATAAATCGTTAGACACTTTTTGTAGACTCTCTTTTAATTCAGCAATCTCACTTCGGAGTGCTTGATTTTCTTTTTGTAAAGACTCAAGTCTAGTCATCAGTATTAGTTGTTATAAGATATATGTATAATTTAAAACACAATTCGAGCAAATTCACAATAAAATTCTGGTCGAGAAAATACACGTCCGCTCAGCTCGAGAGCACGTGTCTGAAGAAAAACCAAAGATAAAATGCAGTAAGGTAATGTAGACGTAGATAAAGAAGTATTTTCTTGCCCAGTGATTTTTTTGGCCGGGAAAATGTTCACAAAACATCGACGAATATATCGCGAAGAGCTACAAATGTGTGTATGGCTCGGTGTATGGGATAAAAACCAAACGTACTTGCAGGTTCGGTGAGTCCGGGATTGGACGCACCTCGGGTGGCTGGAAGTTTCCCGAACTCACCTCGCTTCGCTCGGTAAGTTCGGGAAGCTTCCAGCCACCCTCAGTGCGTCCAATCCCGGACTCACCTCCCTGCAAGTACGTTTGTTATAGAGCGTTGACTGACTCTTTTCACACGAGTCCATGGCGAGAATCCAACCCACGAACTGAAAGGTGAAAGGTGAAAGGGGCTTGCTTTGACGAATACGCCACCGAAGCTCCATTTAAACAGATGTGAAAGTTAATTCCTCTTAGCAATGATATCCGGCAAAGACAAGACGAAATGTATCTCATCCCCCAACTTCCATGAGCTCCTAACCTCTTAATGGTCACCAATTTTAGAGGGCGCAAGAAATTCGGAGTAATTTCCAAAGTCAGGGCCATAGTTCAAGTGGATACCCTGCCTGTTCTAGAGTAACTGCAAGAAGTGTACAACTGACTACAGTAACTGCAAGAAGTGTAGCCACTGATGAGAACAACAATTCCCAGATGGTAGAACCACTTCACGCCTGAATAAATCTTGATCCCGTTTAATGTTTAATAATTATAGTTTGTATAAACTCAAGGATTCATATTGGATAAAATGTTAAACACATGGATACTAACAAGGATAAAGGGGTCAAAGCTCAGATAAAACTGGGAACAACAAACAAGAGATTACGTCGATATTCGTTACGTATTCCTACTCTATGTTTAAATTAACAGAAATACTAAATTATGCGAGAACACTTCACGAAAAGGAGAAACAAGCAAAAGGCATCGAAGCAATACTTCACAATTTCCCCAGTCCGTACCGCGATGACAACGGGGACGATATGCACAAAGTTCAGTTTAGAAGACAAACTCGTCGAAATATGAATTCAAATCCTACATTCCAACAACCACGTACAAATTCGTATACACGAGCAGACCATTTCGTTGTGGATATACATGGCCCAACAATGGAGGGAAATGTCTTGCCGAAGGACAGCAATTTAACAACTGCTCTAAACTTGATATTATAATTTCGCCAGAGTGTGTAAATTACGAGACAAGAAACAAAACCAGAATTCTGCTAATGATGTACCAATGTTCACAGATAACAGGCAGTAGTCATGATGAGGACAGTAGTACAAACAGTGAGGAGTATAGTTTCAATGTACATAAAGCCAAATTACAACCTTGTGCAACCAATACTAACAAAAACAAAAAACATTCCTCTTATGCCAAATATAAATTAGGAAATTTAACCATCAGATTCCAAATTGATAGTAGACCATTAGCCAACATCATTGATGAATCTACCTTCTCCACGATTCGAAAGGAAAACCCATTGATATGCCTCAACAAAGTACAAGAAGCGTCTTTTGGGCTTCGGTAGAACAACACCATTTCCAGTACTCGGACCATTCCTGTATGTTTTGGAATCAAAGAAACAATCAAATTAATATTTGTCAAGAATGCCACTGCATGGTTGCCTAAATTTGAGCGGAAAAACTGCCATTGACTTAAACTTTCTCACAATTAATGTTAATCAGATAAATAGGCAACCTGCCTTCAGCATATTAGCTATGAATGCAAAATTCCACCTTGTTTAAAACCTATCATCACTGAATATATGATGAAGTCTTCCATGATGTTGGAAAATTGATGTTCAAGTTAACCTACACAATTAACCAAGAGTCGAAAATGTCAAACCTGTTGTGCAACCAACATGCATGACGAATGCCATTTGCCTTACGCAAGAAAGTTGAATATAGACATGACCGATTGCAACAACAAGACATCATTGAACCTGCACAAGGACCATCACTGTGGGTCCAATTGCTGCATTTCCTAAACCTAGCAAACCTGACAAAATTAGATTGTGTATATAGGTATGCGCCAAGCAAATACTGCAATTTTACTGGAACACCACCCTCAACCGACCATTGAAGACCTTCTCAATAATTTAAATGGAGTTCTATTAAATGGAGCTCTATATAAAAGAGGAATTGTTTGAGTCGTCCACAATCTAGTTGGAAATAGTTATCATACGTCTCAGACGGCTTAAATATAAGCTGCATATTAAATATAAGCTGCAGCCTAAATAAGTCAAACACGAACAACTCGTATAAACAGCCAATTTTCATTAAGTACAGATTATTTTGGACTAGCTTTTATACCTCTGAGCATATTACGAATAAATTGATCTCTTACTCGAATGACAAATGGCACTATTGGTCGGCGGAGCTTTATAATATTATAAGCAACCAGAACCTAGAGCAACGGCAATGTAAAAGAGTGACGCACTAAACATAAAACAGCGTGGTATTGTCTGAAATACGTGATATGCCAATAAATCCATATGCTGTCAAACCGAATGCCGGAACCAACACGTACACCAGTCCTACAGTGTAGCCAAACATTTGATAAAATCGGCTTGGGATATAACCAATTAATACCCGACTTGCGTTTCGATTGCGTATAGCTCTTCACGGCCAACTAATTATTATAATAGAGCCATTTATACCAGCAACAAGTGCCGATATGTAGACTATGCTGACTGCTTCACGGTGACTGCTATTTAGATAACATCCGTCTATGCCAGAATTGCGTTGCAAGTTGCAGCAACATTGCCTCGTGTGACATGGCCTTTATTTATATTTTCATTTTCTTTTTCCTAGAAAAGAGAACAATGAATAAATGTAAACAATAACGTTGAAAACCTTTGAAAAATTAGTTTCTTTGTGAAGGGAAGCTCGATCGAGTGTACGCAGTTGTACGTCTAGTTTTCGATATTCGGCGAAAGGTATGGCTAGTTTATATTGTTGTTCAGATAATTGCCTTTTTTTTAATTTGATAATCTCACTTGATTTTCAAAGGCCATAAATCGCGATAATATTGACATCGACTAAAACTATTGTTATGAACTAAGATATGAGCATTTCAAGTCTTAGATCATCATAGATCACCAATGACCTACGTAATATGGATCCTGTTCTGTTGAAAAGGAGTTAAACAAAAATATTCGCCATATTGAAACGTCATTGTTGGCATAGCACCAGCTGTTAGGAACTCCTTAGTTATTGTTTTATTCAAGTCAGATTCTTGTTGTTTTTCAACAAATAATTATTGTCCAGAAATTCATGTCCAAATCAGAAAATCTTCATTTTTAAAAAGTGTAGGTAGCCACCTTAAAATGTTCAGTGTGAAACAATTGAGGTTTAACAGGCAAACGCCAACTGTAACAAACAATTATTACTAACTATTTTTAATCGAAATTAAAAACTCTTTAATAATTCATGCCGAAAAAATACAAAAGAAATAACTGTTTAATCAATGTTAGTAAAACGAATAAGATTTTGATTTTCTCGGCTTAGACAATGTTTATTTTTAAAATTACTTCGCCAATGAACTCATAAGATAGGTCGTTTTTTACGCACGTTAAAACATTCGAATCTAGCCCGCGTGCAGGCCCAAGGGAAGAATAGTGGGCCTGCAAGCAAGACCCGGTATTTTGTAAAACGCCCCTTTTCATAACACGCCCCATTCGCGCGTCAATTGTCAAAAAAGAACCAATGACAGCACCCAAATATTAACAAACAAA